TTAGTGATTGTTGTAGAGCTTCAGGTGTGGAAAGATTTACTTTTTCAGCTTTATTGAGGTGTAATTTCCATAACAGTCACCCCCTTTAAATATATCATTTGATATATTTGGTAATTGTATATAGTCATAAAACCAATACCAAAACCAACATGTAGAACAGATCCATCACAGTTCTTTGTGCCCTTTTGCTGTAGAGTCATACCCCTACTCCATCCCTGGTGATCACTGACTGGCTTTATGTTACTAGAGCGTGCCGTTCTAGAATTCATATAAATGTAGTCAAATACTGCATAATCTTTAGCATTTAATTTCTTTGATTTAGTTCTACATTTTTGAGATTAATTCATGTGTATATATTTCATTCCTTTTTATTGCTGACTATTAGTATTAAGTATGGACATAATTTGTCTATCATTGATAGACATTTAGATTATTTCCATTTTGGGCTATTAGTGAATAACACTATTATGAATATTCATATGCTAGGTGTTTGTGTCAATCTACATGTTCATTTTTCTTGAATAAATGCCTAGAAATGGGATTGCTACACAGAATAAGTATATATTTAACTTTATAAAATACTCAAATTGTGTTCCAAAGTAACTATATCATTTTTCGTTTGCACCTACAGTTTTTTGAGAGCTAGTTGCTTCACATTCATACACTTGGATTGGCAGTTGTTTTAACTTTAGTCATTTTAATGGATATGTAAGGTATCTCACTGGGATTTTAATAAGCATTTTTCATCACTAGTTTGGATGAAGGTCTAATGTACTTATTGGCCATTCATATATCTGATTTTGTGAAATACCTGTTGTAGTCTTTTACCCATTTTACAATTTAGATTATCTTTTTGTTACTGAGATTTAGGAGTTCTAGATATTTTGGATATGAGCCCTTCATCAGTTTCTACCAGTCTGGCTTTCCGTTTTTTTTTTTAACTGCGTTTTTTGAAGGGCATTAGTTTTTTATTTTCATGATGTCTAGTTTTAACACTTACATTGAGGCCTTTAATTCAATTTGAGTAAATTTTTGCTTATGGCATGCAGTAAAGGTTGAGGGTTTTTGTCTTCTAATTTTAGGAATTATAGCATTGATGTAACAGCATATTAATGGAGTCAGCTCTTACAATGATTTATAAGAAAATGAAGAGGTGTGCCTGGCTGGCTCAGTTGGTAGAACATGCGACCCTTGATCTCAGGTTTGTAAGTTTGAGCTCCCTGTTGGGTGTAGAAATTACTTAAAAATAAAATGTTAAAAAAAAAAAGGAAAGGATAAAATTTTAAGAGGGACAGGACAGATAAGGATAACATTGAAGATTTGCAGCCAGTAGAAAATAGTTATAAAAGAAAGGATTAAGAGGGAGGACAAGAAAAGAGCTCTTCACAAAAGAAGAGCTTTGGTGTCAGTTATTTCAGGCATAATGATAAAATGAAAACTGAAATTGATGGCAATGACAGTTTCTGTATCTAGAAATGATAGTATCGATAATCAGAACACTGCAGTAAATCAGATTTCAAGGCAAAAATGGCTGTTTTCTGGCTTATTTTACTTCTTTTCATTAAATACATGTGCACTTTGCTGTTTAGCCATGTGAAACTTAATTGCAACTAGACAAAAAGAGTACTATAGTTATTATACAATTACAAATCAGTTCAGGTTAAAAGGCTCAAGTCTTCAAGGACATCTCTGCAGGTCTAACAAGTAGGGGCTTTTAAAAGTTTGAAATAGGATTGGGGCGCCTGGGTGGCTCAGTTGGTTAAGCGTCCGACTTTGGCTCAGGTCATGATCTCGTAGTTTGTGGGTTCGAGCCTCGTGTCGGGCTCTGTGCTGACAGCCAGCTCAGAGCCTGGAGCCTGTTTCAGATTCTGTGTCTCTCTCTCTCTGACCCTCCCATGCTCACACTGTCTCTCTCTCTGAAATAAATAAAACCTTAAAAAATTAAAAAAATAATAAAATAAAAGTGAAATAGGATTATAGCTATGCTTGTACGATCCTTCCTCACCCACAGTTCCTTCTCCACAAAGGCAACCACTTTCAACTCATTTAACTGTGTCTAATGGTGCTTATTCTCAAATTTTATACATCTATTTTACCTACTTTTGATTTAATCATTTAAAAATATTATCAGCTTGGGGGTGCCTGGCTGGCTCATTAGGTAGAGCATGTGACTCTTGATCTCAGGTTTGTAAGTTTGAGCCCCACTCTGGGTGTAGAGATTACTTAAAAATAAAATCTTTGGAGATACCTGGGTGGTTCAGTTGGTTGCGGTCTGACTTCAGCTCAGATCATGATCTCATGGTTCATGGGTTCAAGCCCTGCATCAGGCTCTGACAGATCAGAGTCTGGAGCCTGCTTTGGATTCTGTGACTCCCTCTCTCTCTGCTCCTCCCCAGCTTGGTTCTGTCTCTCAAAAATTATAAATAAACATTAAACTTCATTTTAAAGGGGTGCCTGTGTGGTTCAGTCAGTTAAGCGTCGGACTTCAGCTCAGGCCATGATCTCATGGTTCATGGGTTGGAGCCCGCGTCTCGCTCTGTGCTGACAGCCAGCTCAGAGCCTGGAGCCTGCTTCAGATTCTGTTGTCTCCCTTTCTCTCTGACCCTCCCCTCCTCACGCTGTCTCTCTCTCTCAGAAATAAATGAAACATTAAAAATTTTTTTAGTAAAAGTCTTTTGAAAATAAAATCTTTTATACATAGATAACTTTATATAATATATATATAAACATATATATAAGTTTTTTCCAGTCATTTTTTTCTTTCTTTCTTCCTCCTTTTTTTTTTTTTTTTTTTAATTATTCTGGGAGATTTCCGGGAATTTTTTTTACGTAAGCTGTTGAATTTTTGGGGTCAACATCATATTGTTTATTTGCAAAAGCACTTCTTTATAGAACTCTGTGGATAGAGGCACCTGGGTGGCTCTATTGGTTAAGCATCCAGCTTCAGCTCAGGGCATGATCTCTCACTGTGAGTACGAGCCCTGCATAAGGCTCTGTGCTGACAGCTCAGAGCCTGGAGCCTGCTTCAAATGCTGTGTCTCCCTCTCTCTGCACCTCCCCCACTCACACTGTCTCTCTGTAGGGGCGCCTGGGTGGCTCAGTCAGTTGGGCAGCTGACTTCAGCTCAGGTCATGAGCTCGTGGTTCATGGGTTCGAGCCCTGCATCAGTCTCTGTGCTGATGTTTCAGATTCTGTGTCTCCCTCTCTCTCTGACCCTCCCCTGCTCACACTGTCTCTCTCTCTCAGAAATAAATAAAATATTAAAAAACATTTTTTAAATAAACATTTAAAAACAATTAAAAAAAGAACTTTGTTGATATTTCAGTGCTTTGTATGTTTTCAGTGCTTCTGTGATACTAATTTTTATTGTTTATATGTGTTTCTTTTCTTCCTTTCCTTGTTTTTATCCTTGTTTTTATCTAGATTTCACAACAGGGCTTTCATCAATTTTTTGTGATCTTTAGCTCTATGTTAAAATTTAACATTGAGGTACCAGAAATATTATTGTAATCTTTGTGCATGATTAAGAGTTGTAAAATGATGGGCTTTGCTATGCGGCATTTAGTCAGCTATTTAGGTTATTCTTTTATATGACTCCAAGCATAAATATCTGTAAGTGTTTTCACGGTCTTCTCATTTTTTCCAGTAAAGAACCCTCCCAGGGGTGCCTGGGTGGCTCAGCCGAGTGTCAGATTTGATTCAGCTCAGGATATGAACTCATGGTCTGTGAGTTCGAGCCCTGCGTGGGGCTCTGTATGGAGCCTGCTTGGGACTCTCTCTCTGCCCCTTGTATGCATGCTCTCTCTCTCTCAAAATAATTAAAAATTAACTTTAAAAAAAAGAAAAAGCCTTTCTATTGTTTGACACCAGCAACCACCAGCATTTGTAAAGAGCAGCAGTACAAAGGGGTTGGAACCCTGTTCTTCACAGGAATTTTTACTCCCTCTTTTCAGTATCCACTTTGCCTATCATCACTAAGTTTGGAGCCTCTCCGTTATACTTTGGATAATAAATTTCTATTTCCTTCCAGTTGGGAGAATTAGGTACATAAGCTGCTTCTTTTATAATCATTTTATAAGTTCCACCTTCCACTCTTACCCAGTCACTCCATTTATAGAGCCTTTGTTGAAAGCTGTGTCACAAATTACCTGTTTTTAGGTAGCATCCTCTTCTGGCTTTTTAGTTAAGTCACTCAATTCTGCTGCTAATTTATAGTTGTTTATTTGCTTTCCTTTCAAAATTTCCTAAATCTTTTCACCTTCCAGTGTCTCCTCAACCACTGCAGTGTTTATGAGTATATGCCCTACATCCTCGTACTACCATTTTAATGGAGTTTCAGGAAGATATAGGATAAATATTTAACCACATGTCCTTTTTAATAATAATTCTATTCATTTTATTTTTTATCCTTTCATCCTAGGCTCTCCCAATCTTATGTGTTTGTCCTTTGATCCTGTTTGTCACCTGTTTGTTATATTTAATTTTACTGACTTCTAAAATGTACAAAGCTACATTTAAAAACAGTTTGAACAGGGCAGCTGGGTGGCTCAGTTGGTTAAGCATCCCAACTCTTGACTTCGGTTCATGTCATGATCTCACAGTTCATGGGTTCAAGCCCAACATTGGGCTCTGTGCTGATGGCGCAGAGCCTGCTTGGGATCCTCTCTTTCTCCCTCTCTCTCTGCCCTTCCCCAGCTCGTGTGCACACTTTCTCTCTTCCTCAAAATAAGTAAACTTAAATAATAAAAATAAAAACAGTTTAAGCTACATGGCCCTGTGAATGTTATTTGTATTTAAGCTTTCTTTTATACTGGGGGACTAGGTTTGAAATAGTCTATTTTACAATACCACATTTTAAAAGTTTTGTTAAAAACACTGGGAAAAATCACAAATGTTATTGTTGATGATGATAGCTACTTTATTGGATGTTTACTACATGCCAGGCACTAAATATTTTAGTTATTAGCTCTTTTCAATGATGTTTTTTTATTCCCTTTTAGAAAAGGTCTGAGAAATTTATAAATAGATGAAGACTCAGCATAGAAGAAATCGGAGTTAAGTCTCATCCTTCTCCATGAAAATATAGCTAAGAAAAAAGTCAGAAAACCTGGGAGTAACAGAAAAGTATTTTCTCTGAGTACAGATGTTGATTCTTTAAGACTACATCTCTATGTATGAGATTCAGTTTAAGAGAGCTCAGAACATAATTTATACTCAAATATAAGTGGAGCTGTCTAAGAAAGAACCATTGATACTATATGTTTCATTCCAGTCAGTCTGTAATTGTCTAATCTCAGGATAAGCAATGTAAGTCTTTCATCACAAATCCAACTTCATTAGACACCTGAGAATTAAATACTGGAGAGAAACCTATGAATTTGATGAATGTAAAAACTTTCATCTCTGTCACATGTCAAGAAATACTGAAGAATTCTTGTTAGAAAAAATATCTGTGTGTTAAGAATGTTGGAAAGCCTTAAGCCTGAAGCAGATCTCCTTCAGCATGATCAAATTCATACTAGAGAGAAACCTCAGGAATGTAATGAATGTGGAAAAACCTTCAGCCTGAAGCAAAACCTCATAGAGCATAAGAAAATGCATACTGGAGAAAAATCTCATGAATGTACTGAATGTGGTAAAGTATTCTCTCGAGTCTCATCCCTTACTCTACATTTGAGAAGTCATACAGGAAAGAAACCATATAAATGTAATAAATGTGGAAAAGCCTTCAGTCAGAAGAGAAACTTCCTTTCTCATCAGAAACATCATACTGGGGAGAAACTCTATGAATGTGGGAAAGCTTCTATTCAGATGTCAAGCCTCATTAAACACCAGAGGAATCATACTGGAAACAAACCCTATGCATGTAAGGAATGTGGAAAAGCCTTCAGTGGCAAATCATATCTCACTGAGCATGAGAAAATCCATACAGGAGAGAAACCATTTGAATGTAATCAATGTGGAAGAGCCTTCAGCCAGAAGCAATACCTCATTAAACATCAGAATATCCACAGTGGAAAGAAACCCTTTAAATGTAATGAATGTGGAAAAGCCTTTAGCCAGAAAGAAAACCTGATTATCCATCAAAGAATACATACTGGAGAGAAACCTTATGAATGCAAAGGATGTGGGAAAGCTTTCATTCAGAAGTCAAGCCTCATTAGACACCAGAGAAGTCATACAGGAGAGAAACCCTATATATGTAAAGAATGTGGGAAAGCCTTCAGTGGCAAATCAAATCTCACTGAGCATGAGAAAATTCATATTGGAGAGAAACCTTATAAATGTAATGAATGTGGAACAATCTTTAGGCAGAAGCAATACCTCATTAAACATCACAATATTCATACAGGAGAGAAGCCCTATGAATGTAATAAATGTGGAAAAGCCTTTTCTCGAATCACATCACTTATTGTACATGTGAGAATTCATACGGGGGATAAACCTTATGAATGTAAAATATGTGGGAAAGCCTTCTGTCAAAGCTCATCTCTTACTGTTCATATGAGAAGCCATACAGGTGAGAAGCCCTATGGTTGTAATGAATGTGGGAAAGCCTTCTCTCAGTTCTCAACTCTTGCTCTACATATGAGAATCCATACTGGAGAAAAACCTTATCAGTGTAGTGAATGTGGGAAAGCTTTTAGCCAGAAGTCACACCATATTAGACACCAGAGAATTCATACTCACTAAAGCTTGATGAACGCCTTGAATTTAGGAAAAGCTTCAGCAAAACTCACTTAATAATATACCAGGAAATTCCTTTTACAATAACATGACTTGAATGTGGAAAATACTTCAACAGCAAGTCAAAACTTAAATACTAACAATTTTAATAAGTATCATAGTTTAAAATCCTATACTCCCAGAACTCCCACATTGTTGATATACTTTTAGGAGCAACCTCATTGAAGTAACCAGTCATGGACACTAAGCAACATGGTTCTGGAAGGCCTACCTGATGCATTAAGACAAAGAAATGAGAGGTATAAAGATTTGAAATTACGAGACAAAATTGTCATTTTTAAAATGTTTTGCTACATATGTAATCAAAATTACTCGTTCTTGATGCATTCATAGAAATCAAAGATTGGGACAGAATATTGTATTCAGAAACATGCATGCCTTTATGGGGAATTGGTAATTGATAGAGATGGTATCACAAGTTCGTAGGAAAATCATGGATGATTCAAAAAATGGTCTCAGGGTAACTGATTCTTCATGTGGAAAAAAGATCTCTGCCATAGTAATACATTAAAGTATTATGAAATTCAAAAGTATTGTAAAGACTAGAATGCAAAAAGCAAAACTTGGTAACATAAGAATTTTATAGGAGAATGTTTTCAAAACCTTGCAGTAGGAAAGAATTTCTAAAATAGATTCAAGAATACACTCTTGAGTATACATGCATATACCCAAGAAACTGATACATGTACTTAGAGAGTCATGTATCTTTATGTTCATTGCAGCATGAATTACATGAGCAAAAAATTAGAAACAAATGTGTGTTGCTTGTGAAATGGATAAATACAATGTGATGATAGGCACACAGTAGAATATTCTCTAGTAGTTAAGTATAACAGATTATATATATAAATATATTGACAGAAAGACCTGAAAAATCATGTAGAGTGAAAAAATGAAGGGATGAATGTATTCTAATTGTTAACTCTGAATTTGAATTAAATGAACACTAGTATTAAGTGTTAGTTACGGGTGAACATTTTTATGTAAAACTGAAGAATGGATTGGAAGGATACAGTCATTTCCCGAAAGTGGTTGCCTCTAGAAAGAAAGGTAGTGGAAAAGAAATGGGACCAAGCATGGTAATTAGAGGATATTTTCAATTTTGTACCTAAACACCATCATTAAAAAAGAAATAAAGATTCCAACTAAATATAACAATGTTAGTTAACGCTAGGTTCTGATAATATATGTGTTCTATTGTTTGTGCTATTTCTGAAAATTATAAAAGATAAAGATAGGAGTAGGAAAGCTGTACATGGAGTAAATGTAATAATGGGCTCACAATCCCAGGCAGATGCTAATATTTTATAGAAAATATTTCTAAAATCTTACCTTTACTATAAGTCATTTTTGAAAATTGGATGGTAGCTTAAATTATTTAAATGTACTTTTGCATGTCACATCACTACTATGTGTGGTCTCAACTCTGAAATTAAAGCATGATTCTGCAACAGGTTAGGTGGGTTACATATATTTAAGAATCATATCATTTAATAATACATGCAGAGACTTGATTTAAGAACTAGTTTCTACTGAAACATTTATCAGAAATTTTAAGAGTCCACATAACCAGTACTGACATTAAGAATTTGATATTTTTAAAATGAAGAAACCAGTTACTCTTAAATTTTTAAATATGCCACTGAGTAAAACTTCAACTCTTGCATTTCACCTTCAGTTTTAACCTCAAGATTTTTTTTTCTATTCTGCCAGCTATAACCAGTTGATCCCGTTTGTTTCTTTGGTGAAAACGGTGCTAAAAAAGGAGATCTGAGACCTTTTAAACAGTATTCTTTTATGTGAAGCAAATCTTTTTGACAGTTTTTGCTTGCTTGATCCCTTTCCACAACAACTTGACATATAAAGAGTTGTTAGTGCTCTTTTTGAACAGTGATAAAAATGAGATGCAGCATTTAAACTTTAGGTATATTTCAACTTTTTAAATACAAAATAATGAAATGCTAATGAAACCATAGTACTATATCACTTATTAGCAGTTTTGAAGATTGGTCTTGAGATAAGATTATAAATTCCAGGGTTGTTTATATATGTTTATCTACATGAATCTAAATTATCCTCTATTTTCTTCCATTCAAGCATTCCCCTTTTATTTCTTAAGTGTTTTGCTCTTCAGTTTGTGCAGCTTTGAAGTTGCCAGAGCAACTAAAAACTCTTAATTCAGACCAAACTAGGAGGATTACCTTTTGGTGCCTATCATGGGCTGGTGCCAAGGGGCAACAATGATTAGGATAGTCAGAGTAAGGTGAGTAACACCTGTGATACTGTATACTGTAAATGGACCCTGACATTCTCTACTGATTCAACTTGTTGCTAGTTATTTGCAACCACAAACAACAAACACCACAGTAAGCATTTTTTTTTTTTAACGTTCTTAAAATCAGACCTTAAATTTCAGATATTTTTTTTTCTGGGGATTGATTACAGGCAAAAGATTGTTAGATCAAAGGACATACACTATTTTTTAATTTTAATAGATACTATCAGTCATTTTCAGAAACACAGCTTTCCTCTAACACTGCAATAGATGGTAATATACTACTTAAATTTATGTTTGTATGATGAGTATACACCTTGACTGCTCCTAGATTTGCTTCTTTGTAAATTTTTGTATTGTTGGCTCATTTTCCTATAGGATTATTTATCTGTCAATTTTGAAGACCTCTTTATATATTAGACATTAGGAATTTGCCTAATTTTTGTCATAAAAATATTTTTTCCATAAAAAGATCTTAAACTTCTGTGTAACCTGATATGTATTTTTTCTAAGCTTATGGATTGGTTAAAAAGATACTTTAATCTCTAGATTGTATATGTAATTTTTCTTAGGTTTTCTTGCAAGTTGTTTATTGTTTACTTTTTTCAATATGTAAATATTTATCTAGAATTTATTTTTTAATGTCATATAAAATGAGGATTCATTGTTATTTTCTTCCAGATGGGTTTTCAGTTATATAAGCACAATTTGTTAAAATAACCCAACTACTCAGCAGCCAGTCACACAGTTCTGACACCAATCTGCAGTGTCCACCAACAGCAATCACAGATTTGAACTGGCAATCAAAAAAAAAAAAAAAAAACCAAAAAAAACCAGAATAGGCTTTAACCCAACATTAGGTTTATTATTAGCTTTGTCCTAAACAAAACAAAAAACCACCTTTACAATACTGCAACTAACCAAGCAAACATACCTTCCAGGACCTATGTACTGCTGAGGGGAGAAAAAGTTAGAATGGGTGTAGTTCACCTAAGCCCTGGGAAACATTAACGTTCTCACCCAGGACATCTTACTATAACCCACCACTGCATCTTACACACCCAGTTGTAAGACTGAAACCCACTTAAGCACAGGGAAACTACTGCCTTGGTTTCCCAAGACGGATGATGCCTTAGTCATATAGGCTATTAATGTCTACATGCCAATTCACAGCTCTCCCCTCATCTAGGTACAGGATACAAATGAGGAATCTACAGTAGTAGTTTCTTCAAGGAAACTGGTACAAAGGCAAATCTAAGGTCCTCTTTCTAGACATGGGTTAGTAGGAAAGACCTGTTGTTTTTACCAATACCACCCTTTTCCTATTTAACTGACTCAGCTATGTAATCCTTTAACCACATGATCTTTTCCTCATTCAACTGAAACTGCTTGTACTTTCACTTGTACCAAGACCTATTTCTGTATTCTTGTTTCACTAATCTATTTTTCTACTTCTATACTAATACCATATTAACTGATTTAACATTAGCCTTACCGTATTTTGATACTGCGTATTAGACCAAGTCCTCCTCACTGTTTTTCATAGTTTTATTGGCTATTCCAGTTTTCTTTCTATTTAAATGAAGACTGTTCTCAAAACACAAAACCCTTTTGATAGTTGGAATTACATTAAATTTATATACTTATTTTGGGAGAAATAACATTTTTGATTTTAAGTCTTTGTGACCCAAATTGTAGTGTGCCTTTGCATTTCTTCAAACTATGATCATGTCCTTCAGCATGAGGGTTCTGAGCAAAGTAATCTGAATAACATCCCTGCTTAATATTAGAAAATTTGTTAGTAGGATGAGTAAGAAAAATCCCTATTAGGGACTAAATGTTTGTAGCCCCTCAGAATTCATATGTTGAAGCCCTGATTTCTAGTGTGATGGTGTTTAGAGATGGAGCTGTAAGGAATTAGGTTGAGACTAGGTCATGAAGGTGGGACACTCATAATGGGAACAGTACCCTTATAAGAAGTAGAAGAGAGATTATAAGAACAGGAAGAGATTTCTTCCCATGGGTATACACAAAAAGTCATGTGAGACATGAGTAGCACAGTGAGAAAGAAGCTGTCTACATACTAGGAATTGGACCTTCACAGGGTTTGCCAGCCTCAACAATTGTAAGAATAAATGTCTGTTTAAACCCTCCAGTCTATGGTATTTTGTTATAATGCCCAAGATATGACAGTCCCTTTCCTGCTGAATTCTACTGTGCTCCTAATATGTGGTAAAATTAAAGCACTTTTCATTAGGAAAGTAAAATTCCAACTCCCATAAGGTCTACAAATTTTTTTAATTTAAAATTGTTTTTAACGTTTACTTTTGAAAAAGAGTGTGAGGAGGGGGGAGTGTGGAGTTACTGTTAAATGGGTACATAGTTTCAGTTTGGGATGATGAAAAAGCTTTGAAATGTAGTGGAGATAGTTACACAACATTATGAATGTACAACCACTGCACTGTACAAAAATGGTTAAAATGATAAATTTTATATTATGTGTACTTTACTACAATGAAAATATATTTCCTAATAGTATGTGATGAGTATGTTAATAATCATAATTCTCACCTAGGACTTAAATGAAGGGAGAAGTCTCATACCAACAAGTTGAAAAGCAATAATCCAGTCTAAGCTATGTGATTAAAAGAGTAATACTTGGGGGCACCTGGGTGGCTCAGTCGGTTAAGTGTTCGACTTCAGCTCAGGTCATGATCTCATGGTTCATGGGTTTGAGCCCTGCATCAGGCTCTGTGCTGACAGCTAGCTCAGAGCCTGGAGCCTGCTTCAGATTCTGTGTCTCCCTCTCTCTGACCCTCCCTACTCACGCTGTCTCTCTCTCTCTCTCTCAGAAATAAATAAGACATTAAAAAAAAGAAGAAAATCTCTTTTTAAAACAAATTAATATTTGTTCAGACAAGGTGGAGATCAATGTTGAGTCTTATCTATGCACAAATGAGAAATTAACATTAGAAGATGTTTTTATTTTTTTTAAGTTTATTCAGAGAGAGAGCACATACACACATGTGAGCAGGGGAAAGGCAATGAGAGATGGAGAGAGAGAATCCCAAGCAGGCATGGTGCTAATCAGTGCAGATCCTGACATGGGGCTTGATCCCACAAACCATAAGATAATGACTTGAGCCAAGACCCAGGGTGGGTCACTCAACCCACTAAACCACCCAGGCACCCCTAGAATATGCTTTTATACAGGTAGAACATACAATGAAGGCAAATGTAAGGAAGAATACAAGTAACGCTAAGGAAGCTTGAAATGGAGTACAGAAAGAGTGAATCTTACCTACAATTGATTTTCCTATCCAATAATTCCAGATTCTGTCACCCAAAATGCATTCATTTGGGACTGTCTCCATAAAGATCCTCAGTCATGAATGGAAACTATTTTCAGTGATCCTTCAAATGAGAAAAGGAAGGGCAAGCCAGTTGGTCAACAGTTTTCCCATCTGCAAACATAAGGACATTTATTGAACATCTTATTATAGCCCAGGCCTTTAAGGAACTGTGTTTTTATAAAAGCCTCAGTCATACATTTTGCCAAATGTCCTAAATACAGAGTGCATAAACTCTAATCTGGGCTCGTTTGTTTGTTTGTTTTTTCATTCAATCATTGATTGTTGACCCTATTATTGAGTCAGGTCCTACTGTTGACCAATGGACATAAAACACACTTCCCTGAGGCTTACACAGTATAGTATAGGAAATCTATTTCGGTCAGAAAACCATAAAAGTGAGACCAAGGCATGTGAAAAGATCTGCAGAACTACAGAGGAGTCTATGACAAATTTCGAAGCTGTGTCTAGTGAGGCTTCTCACAGAATGTGACATTTAAGCTGAGTCTTGACAGGTGAGAGTGACATCACTGGGCAGAGAAGGGAGAAAAGATCATTACCAGGCAAAGGATAACCTATGTGCAATTGGTCAAGGGCTGTATAAAAGAGATTGTGTATTTACTGTCCGCAAGGTAGGAGCAGTTCCCACCCACTTTACCTAGTTGATGCAGATTCATCAGACAGTGGTTGGTTTCTCAGGCAAGTAGTCCCTGAGATACCCAAGGACAAAAATGTAATTTATACTATTTATCCAACTATATAAATCATGTAGTAACATGAAACTTCTGAAAATTTATTTTAATTCTGGTGCAGTAAAATTTACATGCACTTTTATAACTGATAAATATGTCTCCCCATCTAAAAAGAACGGGAAACCATGTCTATGTGTATTCACAATTGAATTCCACTGCTCTTTGCCCAGTTTCTGGATGTCAGAATGTGCTTTAAAAATATGGAAGGAAGGAAGGGAGGGAAGGAGGGAGGAAGATACCCACTCAGACCATGACAAATGAGTTGCCACTAATTACTAAAAATGTAAGATGAATCCCCAGGACTACTGATTTCTGGTCAAGACTCTTATTAAACAACAAAAAGCTGTGGGCCAGGGGAAAATTTTGTAGTTATTTTGAAATTTAGCATTCTTTATCAATATGAAGACCTAGTTATATTCTTCCCAAACCACTGTACCTTTCTTTTTTATGGTCATCTCTCCAAGGGCTCTTAATATACTTGAAAGGCCACAAACTTTGGAAGCTGTGATTTTTTTTTTTTACCTCTCTCTGAGTATTGATATTCATAGTAATCATCTACCAAGGAACTACAATATCTCAGATCTGACAAATATTTCTATTATCTACCAATGGCAATGACTTCTACTGTTCTTTATTATTCTCTTCTCACAAGTGATTCATGGTGTCTTCATGACTGGAATACTAGGAAAAATGGTATTCATATTTTTAGATTTATGAAATATTTCCAAATTGCATTAAAAGTTGTACCAATTTACAATCCCTTGGCAATGTATGAGAATCCTCATCAGTCTGTGTCCTCACTAACCCTTGCTGCTGCTGTTGTTGTTGTTTAATGTTTCTTTATTTTTGAGAGGAGAGGGAGGAGCCGAGAGAGAGGGAGACACAGTATCTAAAGCAGGTTTCTTGGCTCAGAGCTGTCACCACAGAGCCCAAAGTGAGCCTGGAACTCAAGAGCCATGAGATTATGACCTGATCCAAAATAGGATGCTTAGTCAACTGAGCCACTCAGGAGCTCCCAACCCTTGTTTTAAGAACTAATATTCCTGGCTTGCCTTGGTGGCTCAGTCGGTTAAGCATTTGACTCTTGATTTCAGCTCAGGTCATGATCTCATGCTTCATTGGATCAGCCCTGCATTAGGCTCTGCACTGACAGCACAGGGATTCCCCCTTTCCCTCTCTTTCTACCCTTCCCCTGCTCATGCATGCATATGTGTGTGTACACATGATCTCTCTCTCTCTCAAAAACAAATAAAAATAAATTTTAGAACGTGCTTTAAAAAAAAACTTAAGTTTTCCAAATATGTTGATTGTAGAATGGTAGCTTATTGTGCTTGTAATTTGCATTTCCTTTATTATATGTGAGGATAAGCTTCTTTTCAAATGCCTATTGTCCATCTAGTTTCCTCTTCTGTGGATTTTCTGTTCATATATATCCTTCACCCATTTTCTGATTTTTTTTATTTAAAAATAAATATGTATGAATTAGGTATAATAACCTGGATACTAATCTTTTGTGACTTACATGTGTTGCAATACACTCTCAGACTACAACTTCTCTTTTCACTTTATGATCTTTTTGGATGCCTAATAGCTTTATTTTTTTAATGTTTATTAAACATTTTGAGAGAGAGAGAGAGTGTGTGTGTGTGTGTGTACACAAGCAGGGGAGGGGCAGAGAGAGAGAATCCCAAGCAGGCTCCAGGATGTCAGCTCAGAACCTGAGACAGCACTTGATCTCATGAACTGAACCATGAGATCATGACCTGAGCCAAAATCAAGAGTCAGACGCTTAACCAACTAAGCCACCCTGGCATCCCCTAATAGTTTTAAATTTTAATGTAATCACCTTATTCTTTTACATTTGCTTTTAGGATCTTAAATATTTTCTAATCCACAGTCTCAAAGGCATTGTGCTATATTTTCTTTCAAGCGTTTTACATATTTGTTCTTTATAATTAGTTCTTTATCATTTTTCCTTTTTATTGAGATATAATTGACATATAACATTATATTAGTTTTGGGTATAGAACATAATGATTTAATATTTGCATATATTGTGAAATGATCACCAAGATAAATTTAATTAACATCCATGACCACACATAGCGACACATTTTTCTTGTGGTGAGAATTTTTTTTATAAACAGTTTATTGTCAGGTTGGTTTCCAACAATACCCAGTGCCCATCCCAACAAGTGCCCTCCTCCATGCCCATCACCCTCCCCTTCCCCCCACATCCATCAGTCTTCAGTTGAAAATTTTTTTAAATCTTTCTTAGCAACTTTCAAATATACAATACAGTATTATTAACTATAGTCACCACAGTGTACATTACAGCCCCAGGACTTACTTTACCACTTAAGTTTGTACCTTTAAATTACCTTCATCCATTTTGCCTGGCCTCCACCACACACCTCAGGCAACCACCAACTTGTTTTCCCTACCTATGAGTTGAGGGTTTTAATTGGTTTGTTGTTTTGCTCCCAGGTGAGATCATAACGGTATTTTTCCTTCTCTTTCTGATGTAGCTCACTTAGCATAATGCCCTCAAGGTCCACCCATGTTGCCACAAATGATCTCTTTGGAGATCCACAAATTGCAGGATTTCATTTTTTTAACTCTTTAATTTTTTTAAATATTTGCTTATATTTTAGGGATAGAGGAAGAGCATAAGTCTGGGAGGGGCAGAGAGAAAGGGAGACACAGAATCCAAAGAGGTCCAGCTACGAGCTGTCAGCACAGAGCCCAATGCAGGGCTTGAACCCATGAACCATGAGATCATGACCTGAGCCGAAGTCAGACACTTAACAGACTGAGCCACTCAGGTGCCTCTCCTTTTTTTTTTTTTTTTTTTAATAGCTGAAAAATATCCCATTGTATATAGAAAAACTACTGAATAACTAACATGTACATGAAAAGATGTTCAACATCATTAATCATTAGGGAAATGGAAATCAAAACCGCAGATATCACCTCACGCATCTCTTAGAATGGCTATTATCAAAAAGACAAGTAAATGAAGCTGAACATCATCTAGGTGGGGAAAAAAATGT